CATTATTGAATACATTTATATTTGATCATTCAAGGATAAGAACAAGGCTCAAATGCTTTCAAACTACTTCTACCGAGATACCAATTTTAAAAAAATAAAATACTTGCCAATGGTGTCCGAGATATAATTCTCTAGTACTACTGTCTGAGAAAGAGAAATACCATTTCACTCAGTCAAGAAACCAAGCATTTCAATGTACCAAAAGAGATGCATCCATTTGCTTTAAACAGCCAGTATTTTTTACATTTTTACAAATCAAAAAGTGGTAAATTTTCACTGACCAGAGAAAATCTCCACAGTTCAAGGAACATTGAGATATATTTGGGAAGTTCTAAAAATTACTGGAATTCCTTACCACAACACTGATCTTTGCAATGGTCACTTTAGTCCAGACTTGTACAGATCTTATATCCTGATTTTCAGAGAAAGAGGCAATGTTCTTTACTATAAAGCTTAAAGATGAATATATTAAGAGAATACTCCTACTTGAAATTATTATTTCAAAATAGTCATTTAAAATATTCTAACTAGCCATTCAAAAATGTACTGTGCACTAGCCAATGGCTTGACCCTGTTTTCAATAAATTAATGTCAACACTTTCATTGACTTCTAGGATCATTTTGCAGGATTGGACCCAAGAGCTGGTACAGTGGGAGTGAAATGAAGAACAAATTATTTATTTACATGAAGTAAAACTAAGCATTAAAAGGCTACACAACGGCTCTGTAATAAGCAACACTGCTAAAGCTGTCTTAGTGGTTACATTTTGAATTTAAATTAATATACTGTAAATGACAAAAGGTTTCCAATGGAGACCTTCTCTGAAACTGCTTCTTGCAAGACATGGGAAGCTTATCTTCTCATACTAGACAGCACTCTAAAATATGTCTATTTATCTAGCTATCCATCAAGAGTTCTCATCCCTCTCACCAAATGATTTATTGCTGTTAGAGCCTAATCTAATTTCAGGTGAGCTCATCTTTTTTTTCTGCCCTGGAGACATTTTAACTTCATATTGCTCTCTTTTCACAGCCATGAGAGAATACAGAGTCCCTTAGCCATTAAGGATGCTGTACTGACATTTTACTTTAGCCATTTGCTGTAAAAGTCATCATTATTGCTCTACTCATAAAGAGACCTTTTCTAAGAAAAACAAAAACAAATTGCTGGCATTAGATCAAATCTCTTCAGTCCAAAGTGTGAAAACTATAGACCTTAACAACTTGCCAGAGGTATGAAGAATTCCAAAACCCTCTTGGGGAAGCAAACTTTCTCATTTTAATAAAACAGTCTCTGAGCTTTTGAGGCCCTCAACAGCTCCCTGGTCATCCTGATGTATTTGTTATTTTATTGGTAGTCACACAATTTGGACTCCCTTATAGGCCTATCTTTATTGCAGCAGTTTTCTCTCGCCAGCAGCAAATGGTGCTAAATCTTCAGAGAACATGTTTCAGGAATAATTTTGTCATCTGCTTCATTCATGCCTGCCTCCTTTGCTCACCCATAACAAAGTCCTCATCTGCACTCTTTGCAGACATCGTATGTCTCTCAAATTTCTATGCTTCGCCATGACTACCTTACATTCTGCTCACATGCTAACCTCAATCTTGGTCCTTAATTCTACATTTGAAGGTAATTTCCTGTAATACAACATAAAGCTTGAAATATTTACCTTTGGATCAAAACATTTATTTAGCCAACCCAAAGTTTCATAGCACAGAAAGATATGGGGTGTTAAGTGCATTTGTGTATGCTTCTGCAGCAGTTGAATAGATATCCAAAGGAGTCCCTCCCCGCCCCGCCCGGGTTTGAATGTCTAGTGACTAGCCTGCAGTACATATTTGTGTCATAAGCAGTGTGCTTTAATATATTTCATGAAACATAATTTACAGCTATCAATCAAATTCTGGAAGATTAGTGACTCTCTAAATGCCATGGGTAGTTTAGGAACAATACAAAATAGAATAATCAATCCATATCCATCCATTCACTGACTATAAGTGTAAACAAAGTATTATTTAAAAATCTAGTTAATGCCCAAGAAAAGCTTCTTTTAGTCTGTACTTACCTTTCAGAGGCATTTTCAGACATTTCAAAACATAAGTCGATAGCAAGATGGATATCCATATTGCTTCAGGAAACAGAAGAAAATGCATCTTTGCAGGTAATAAAATTAATCTTTACAAATGTTACCAAACATTACAGGGCATGAGTCAGGTCAATTACAAAAATAAAAAAATAAAATAGGACCAATATGCCATGAGAAAGTAGGTGAGGTGGATCTCAGACATTTCAAAACATAAGTCGATAGCAAGATGGATATCCATATTGCTTCAGGAAACAGAAGAAAATGCATCTTTGCAGGTAATAAAATTAATCTTTACAAATGTTACCAAACATTACAGGGCATGAGTCAGGTCAATTACAAAAATAAAAAAATAAAATAGGACCAATATGCCATGAGAAAGTAGGTGAGGTGGATCACTCTGGAGAGAGAGCACTGATTTCAGAGCATCCTCTGACTTCTTGCACCCCATCGAGTACCCTCTGTGAGTTCAATTTTCTTATATTCCAGCAGCATAAGGCATGTAGGTAGAAAAAGGGGAAAAGATGCTTTCTGTGGCACCTTTTCCCACAAAGACAGAGGAAAACCTTTGGGATCTCTTTCTTTCAGTTCTTCTTTATACAGCGGGTGTTTTGAGAGCTCAGTATTCATTCCCAATGGCAGCATGGCTCTGATAGGAGCCATTATGTTTCAGCAACAGCATGGAAAGGCTGGTCTTTTGCATGGGACTTTTGGGTTCCTTTCCTTGTGATCTTGGGAAATTGTACCCCCTGTCTTGTCCCCTAATCTCTCTTACTTAAAAAGAAAGTCTGTAGGAAACAAAAATATTTTCTTTGTGGTGTTACCTGGTACTCCTATTCCCCTCATACAAATATCTTTGAGAGATCCAATCTGACCCCTAGTTAGGACCCATTTAAAATAATTGATTCTGAAATCTTAGGTTTGTGTGTTAGGACTTGGGCAATGGGTAAAGATTTATAAACAACCACAAAACTCTTATCACAGAATGTTGACAGGATGTAACAATTATTTTTCCAATGGAGCTGTCAAAAATTGAAAGGAGGAATTTTAAAGATACTGACAATTTTTCCAAACTCAAGATTTTTTCATCAAAACTCTTAGGGTATGTCTACACTACCACCCTAGTTCGAACTAGGGTGGTAGTGCAGACATACCCTTAGGCACACACATAGGTGAAAAACAATATGAAAAGCACATAAGCAAAATACAACTGATGTCACTATGTAGTCTGTACCCAAGCATAATGGCTACTACACTGTGGTATATAATTAAACTTGGTGTTCAGATACTCTGTTTGAGGATTAAATAGTTGAATTATCTGTGAAAATATCTGAAGCATTTCCGAATGTGTCTCATGTATACTTTAATTACATTAATTTCCATATTATGGATCTACTATTTCACTGAGAGTAAATATGGTTTTATAACAACACAGTCAACCAAAATAGAACCATATGACTCAATCTGCACTTAGGTTCAAAGATCTAATGTACATGGTTAATAAATATGCTACCATACTGTAAGACAAGACAAATTAAAAGGGACAGATGGCCTTCATGGAATACTACATCTCATTGAGAACTGTATTCTCCCAAAGCTATACAATCTGACAGCAAGCACCCCCCATCCCAGCCATGCTGACCAAAACCAACACCTGTTGTATTAGCATATTACATGGCTTTTAAAAGAAGTGCCATTGATCATGCAAACCAAGCATAGCTGTGTTTTGCTGTGGCTCTCCTCCCTCCCCCCTCCCACTCCGGAACACCTACTAAACTGTGACAAACCTGCCAGCAGGTCAGCTTACAGAGATTGGGAGATGGGCTGGATGACACCTCCCCACCCCCACCGGATCTTTTCCATCTCTCATGTCTATGGTGCAGAGTTTCATCTTAAAGGGCTTGTGGATCAAAGTCTTGGCAAACATGCTGATTTTCCACAAGGAAACAAAATTCATAGGAATTTCTATCAAGCCATTTGCATTCCTGGAGCTAAGACAGTAATAGACAGACAGACTGACAGACATTGTGTTAGCCAACATGACACATTTATGATTATATACACTGTAGCGATACAACCTCTCCTACCAGAATTAATACATGTCTAAAGACAGCACGGGGGAGGTTTGCATTGGAGAAGCAGACAATTTTTACAGAAGCTCCGTTTATTCATTAGGAACACAAAGAATCTCACCGCAGCACAAATAAATCAACCAACATCAGTCTCACTCTGTCTCCACCATCCTTAATATGGTTTAATTAGGAGTGGCATGACACAGTAGGAAAAGAGACCGGTTCACTGTGAGACCTGCTACTCACTCTCTTACAGTGTAACGGCCCCCCTTCCAACTGCCCATCGCTGCAGGGAGCTAACATCCAACTGGGTGTCACACAGACTCTAGAGCACATCCTTGCCTGCTGTTTTCATGAACACTAACCTCAAAAGGAGGAAAATAGTGGAATATTATCATGGTAAAGACTACCTTTCATCTGTCTGGCTCCATATCACAGACATAGTTTCATCTTTGCAGAGCAGACTGGCCTCAGTTAAATTGCCATTACAGGTTTCTTGGTTTAAACATGTTTTGGGACCTCATACAATGAAGAAAATAAAAATGTAACTCTCGGATTTTGAATGAAGTATGAATGACCACAGTAATTTGCCACTTGCCTTACTTCAGATCCAATGTGTTACTGCAGTAAGAACCATGCTGCGTGCCACATGCTAGACGACAGCACTGAGGCATGCTTTCCTTTTTTGCTTTGTCTTTCCAAGTAAAGTGGATTTTTCACTGTTTCAACTTACTTAAATGGCCAGTGTGAGTTTTTCAGGCCCAAAACCAAACTACAATCAATAGATTCATCAGTAAATATAACACGGATGGCTGAAGAAATTAGAAACAGATGCAAATACCTGCTTGCTGTGCAGTCTGGGGTATTTGTTGACTCCGTTGTGCATTGTACTGAACTGAGGCAATGGGTCTATACTGCTGAGTTGCTGAGGTAGGGTACTGACCAGATGGGTAATAATACACTGGCATCTGTGGAAAGTAAGAACACCACCTAAGTACTTATGACAGAAACTGAAGACATACAGAAGAAAAAGAATCTGGTGAAGTAGTTTAGTTTTACAGTAATCAAAGTTTGACACAGTGCATTTTCAAGCACTTAGTTCTAATTTTCTCCTCCAATGTGATTATCAATGTCTTAAACAAGGTTAGTATGTAAGCTGGAAATCCTAAATGAAGCAGGAACATGAATATAAATGTTTCAAATACTGAATTACTTTGTTCTCATCGCATGTAATGTCAAAGAAAGAAGCGGAGACACACAGCAGCTATTTTTTAAAAAAAATTGTGCAAGCAATGTTACATATAAACAAGAGACCGAAAAGAATCGCAGAAGTACCATATTGTACAAAATTATAATGCTAATATGAATGTATTGTAGACCATATGGAAAACAATTAAATAAACTCTGGGGAAGATATATTAAATGGACAATTGAGAGTAGAAATGGCCTGGAATCAAAATGTGCATGTTATTTAATGTGAGGTATTTGTATGTATAAAAGTCTCCTTTGTTAGCTTATCCCTCTTTAATAGCTAATCGCTTACCTGCATGAATCACTCCCTTTAAAGCTTCTAGCAAATTTGACATAAAAATATTATGGATTAACAATAATTAGCGTTCTTCTTCTTACAAAATCTTTTATAGGTATTGAATCAACCAGTGTTGCTAGCTGTTTTATCGTACAGAACACTGTATACTAAACTGCCTCACCACACAGTTGAAAATGCAAGTTTGAGGGCCTCTGAACAGATTTTTTTGCACATTCGTCATCACCATTACAAAGCCAAACAGTTTTGTGTTGACCTTTAGTGAGTTCAATAGTGTTCCATATTTTCTAATATTCAGCTAGAACGATTCTGTAATGGTTAGTAAGATACACTATAAAATACACAGGGGCACCTCTACAAGAGCTTCGAGAGAACTTCTGTTGTTGTTATTCTTAGACTATCTGAAGTGTATATCTATGTTTCTTTATAAGCCAACAGAATTATATTTGCTTCCCCATTTAGTATATAGTCTGTTTCAAAAAAGAGACACAAAATGCTTTTTATTTTTAATACAATGCGAATTATTAAATGTAGGTCATATTCTGCTATCTTTATTCATGCTGAGCAGTACATTAGTCTACAAGTAGTTTCACTGGAGATAACTGGACTTAATATGTTTTTCTCAGTGAGAGAAAAGGTACGCGGAATAAGGCCATATAGGACAGACGTCTGAAGAGTCAAAAGAATCCTTTTAATCCTTTTATAGGACAAAAATCTCAGAGACACAAGGCTATCACCAGAGTAAAAGTACCAAGTGTAACAGAACTAAGTTACAGAAACATACTGTGTCATGCTGATACATGGAAGCGTACTTATAAGGGAGCTAATGGTGGATTAAAATCACCACAATCATCTCAAGACATACCAGGACTTTAAACAAATGTTTCTATAGCTCCATAAGAAAACTCATACAAAAGTTTTCCAATGGACAGTTTCAAAAAATGGTGATGACTACAGGAAAAAGAGAACAGGAAAAACTACCAGGAGGAAGGGGAAACGGGGAGGGGTGGCTGAAGCATAGCATATGAGGATGAAGCATAGATGGGAAGTGAGGAGAGGACAAAAGGAATAATAAGGAGATGGGAGACTCAGAATCAGGAAACCTGGACTGGGGAGGTGGCTGAAGGAAAGAGAACTCCAGACAAACTCCAGACTTCAGAGGACCAGATACTAAATCTTTGCCAATGGTTTTCCTTTGGACCAATGTAAAGACTGTTGCTTTGTCAGGTACATCAATCCAGAATCAAACCACGAATGCTTTAATTTGAACATATTTGAGCTACCTTCACCTCTGAATTACTCAGAATAATGCTGAATTCTAGTCTGCCTTTGACCTGTGCTTTATCTTTGAATACAGCATCATGAGTGACGGGCATAGTGTAAGAATATTTGTCACCAGATCTAATGAAAGCTCTCTGTCTGGAGTAGAACATCCCAGTTTTAAATGAATGGTCTCGTTTTACCCTAGCACAACATAGTTAGTGTGGCAAAATCACCATGGGAAAAAGTGGCTGCACTCTTAAAACATTTAAAAATAAATGGCCACATGAAAACAATGTGAGCTTCCTTTTGTCTTTAATCAGTACATGAAAAGTTTGTAGGTATTAAATTAGAAATGCAGCCCAAACAGATTAGATCTGGATGCTTTAGTTGAACTTGCTTATCCCATTCTAATAACTGCTGTAACACTTAATACAAAGATAGCACTTATCATTTTAAAAAGTATCATACAGCCATGAACTAACTCATTTCTGTATAACAAAATCAGATTATTTTATCTAAAGTATACAGGGATAGCTTATAGGGATTTTCTTTTAATTCACTGGAACTGAATACATTTGTTATAAACTCCATTTAGGATCTTATCAGTATAGCAATCTATCACTTTGAAAAATGTTGTTAGTGGTATGGAGCATTAGATGGAAAATCATTTAATTTGGGGGTGATTAATGGTTGAATTTGATAGTAATCATGCATGGATGACTTGCTAAGAATAGACGTTTTTGTTAAAAGACTAGACATGAAAAAATGGCTTGACACAGAATATAGACGTGGATTAAAGTGAATCTTAGGCTGACAATCAATGATTTATTGATCTTGTAGGACATACTTTAATATGTCTTCTGTACAGCTCTCCTTCTGCCTACAGACACAATTTCCCCCAAAAGTAATCCAAGCCTGATATTTCCCACTGTGATATTACTTTACTGAACAGTAAAATTCATAGAATCATAGATACCAAAGGGACCACGTAGATCATATAACCTGACTCTCCTGAACTTTGCAGAATTACTCACTACCTTAATCCCACTAACATCTTCTTTTACTTATGCTTGACTACAAATCATTACCTTCCCTCTGCTAGTCGGCTGAAGTGCCCAACTGTACTTGATGTTAAGAGCTTTTCCTCTAATCTAAAGCTAGGTCTTCATTATGACCTTTTCCTGGCAAAGTTTATTTCACTCAGAGAACTGGCATAAACTATACTGGCCAAAGGTCTGCATTAACTAGGAGGGTGTGCAAGAAAGCTATATTACTAGAGCTCATTTACAGCTAAACAGATAGAGATTTACCAGCAAAACCTTTCCACTGTACACTTGACCTAAACATTTCCTTCTTCAGCTTCAACACACAGCTTCTAACCTCCTACCCTGTAAAAATCCCCTTTCTTCATTTATGTTGTTGCTTTGAAGCCATCCATGTATAGGCTACCATTTCCTTGTTGAGTTGCTTGTTTAATTATTTAATAATAAATGATTTCTTCCAAACTATTTAAGCTCTATTCAGTCTCTCCATGTGTTTTGTTCTCCATCATATTTCTTTAATGTCTATCCTAAAGACCAATGCTAGACCTGTGCTCAATATTCCAAGCCTACTCAGACCATTGCTAGGTTGAAGAGCATTATTCCTTTGACATATTTCATATAATCACCTATGTAATATAGAGAGCTCTGTAAACAGCTATGGCTTTTTCTTGTTTGTTTCCTATTTCGTTTAATATTATAAACTTAGGGTCCCCGTAAGATGACTCTCCAAATAGGTTTTCTCTTGTGTTGTTTACTTTCACACTCTAGCAGCTGTACTTTACATTTATTTGCAGATTGTTTTGTTGAGTGGACTGCACTTTCCTACCTTCTCCTAGTCAACGTACAGTTTGATTCTGTCTGCACATAGGTTTTCTATTCCAAATGTCATCAACAAATTAGTTACAGTTGAGTTTACATCTTCCTCTGGATTGTGACTAAGGCCAGTTATAGTGCTTTTACCAGATTTCATAGTTCTGCATGGAAACTATACCTTCTCAAAATAAGCATGAATAACTCCCATCGGCATTAAAGGCAACTACACTTATGTAAGAGAATTTACAGGGTCTACATTGACCTATGGAGATTTCTGATACACAAATGCCTTCCAGTCAATCCAAAGGGTGGATTGCCTTTGTCTTACTTTAGGAAATTATTGGTCTCTTACTCTGGCTGCTCCCACGGTAAGGGAAAGAAAATAAAAATGTCATGATTTGTGAGTTGTCATCTAAGGAGGATAGAGTCTTTTGGTGGAACAAAAAGGGTTCTTGTCACCCCGCTCCCTGAAACTAGTGAACATTCCCAAGGATGAGCCAAAGGCCATCTGCATGGCTTTTTGTTTCTCTCCTAGTAATCTTGCTTACTAGTGGCCCTGAGTTCCACCCACCCCTTTAGGAGCTTCCGGATTCTGTTACTATCTCCCTGTTGAGCATATTTTTATCCCCTCAGTCACACAAGCAGAGGAGACAATATGCTCTTTAGTCAGTGCAGGGGAGGATACTGCTGAGGTTTTCACTGAACATGGCAGTCTGGTCCTTTACTGGAATACTTGGACCACGAGTATGCCAGAATGGCTGTCAGGTTTGGAGGAAAATAAACAGAATGGACAAAGGGTATTACTGTGACAGGTGAGTGGGGCAGCTGTCCAGGATGCAATGCCAGGGGAGAAAAAGCAGAAAATGATGAGAAAATCAGTACAGGCTCATCCTTGGCAAAAAAATGCCTAGTTATAGCTCAGTCTTGTGATATGGAAAACAAAGTAGGAATTTACCAGTGAAAGGGAAAAATATAAATCAAGAACACTGAAGTTTCCACTAGTGAACTTGTTTCTCATAGGATGATGGCAAAGCCCACAGAGGAGAGTCTAGACAAAAGACAGATAATTATGTTTATGATACTGAATAATGAATCTGTGGATCAAATTGAGAATGTGAAGCAGAAGATGAGGAAGTAGAAGATGACAAAGGGCTTTCTCCTCTCCCTTAGATGTATCACTTTAAAATCTGCCAGTTCCTCTTTTGATGAAGAATGAGAAAGGGAGCCTTGGAAACAGCAATAAAGCCAGCATTAATTCAACTTTAATATATTAATGTAAGATCTTTTTAGGCTTGCAGGCTTGGGCAACTTTCTCTTTTAAAAGGAAAAAGGGTGCATTAGCTGGACCCGCTCCTAAATTTTCAATGCTATGCTGTATTCCAGTGGCATGATCCCAGAGGCAATCTACTAGAAACCTCGTTGCCACTACATTTACAGGAACTAATTAGCCATTTAGACTCAAGCCTATGATGTATTGATATGAATTCAATAGCAAACTTCTATGATAGAGAAGTGCTTTTACACTGATTACATTACATTGATTATTGCATTATAACATTTTGCATGCATAAGCATCTTAACCAGTTTATTTAGTTTCTTTGCTTCTCCTTCTACAGAGAACAAAAAAACCTTTCACCCTAGATCAGTTATTCAGATTTCAAGGTCTACTGAAAAAAAATAGCTACACAGCAATGACAATAGTAGCTAGGAAAATGCTGATTTTGTAGGGTAGGTCTTTGTGACAGAAAATAGTGGTCAGGGTTTGTCACACTTTGCTTTCCTATTCTTATCAAAGCATCATCTTCCTAGTCATTATTGCCAATGCTGTATAGCTACATTTTAGAACAATCCCCTATGGCTACCCCTATGGTAGCCTATGGACCACTCAGTCCATTCAATATCTACAGTTTGTTACTCATCTTGGGATGCATAAAAAGTAGACTCTCAAGTGGGAGCTGAGAGGTTTGTTACTCATCTTGGGATGCATAAATAGTAGACTCTCAAGTGGGAGCTATTTTACCTCTTTATTTGGCAATGCTGGAATTATGATGTTAAGGTCTGGTACTCACAATTCAAGGAGATTTTGATAAACTGGGGAGGGTTCAGAGAAGAGTCACAAAAATGATTAAAGAATTAGAAAACCTGTGTTGTAGTGATGAGCTAAAGTGATTGGGCTCTTTGAGTCTAACAGAGAGAAGGTTAAGGGGTGATGTGATCACAGTCTGTAAGTACCTTCATAGGGAACAAATATTTAATAAAAGGCTCTTCAATCAAGCAGAGAAAGGCACAACTGAACTCAGTGTCTAGAAGCTGAAGCTAGATAAATTCAGACTGGTAATAAGGTGTACATTTGTAATGGAAAGAGCAATTAGCAATTGGAACCATTTACTAAGGGTTGTGATGGATTCTTCATGCTCGGGCCAGACTGGAGTGTCCTTGCAAGTGGTAGGCCCTGTGGAACCAGAGCAGCCCCTTGTCCATGGCACATGAGGAGCTGCTCCAGTCTCCACTGGTTAACCATTCACATCTCTAATTTAAAGGGGCACAACATGGTCAGAACAGGCGAGGATCACACAACCCCTCATTGACTGACTTTTAGTTCCTACTTTGAAGGTTATCTTCACAACTGTGACAGCAAGAGATTTGCATTATTCTTCAAAATGACAGCTTAGCTAGATGAACACAATTAAGCAGGAACTTTAGAGTGCATGATTGAGTGCCTGCATAATACGTGAGGCCTCTCATGGGTATTTATATAAATTAATTCTGACACTATTTAAAATGCATTTTATAGAACATATATTTTAAATTAACACATGGTCAATTAAGTCCTTTGTTTAAACATATATATTGATGAGCATGTACATATTACACTGTATAGCAGTTATTATGAAATAGGCAACTGATATATAGCATATATTTTTTTGAATACATAGAAACCTTTTTTTGTTTTATTCTATCACTAATTATAACACAGTAGAACTTAACAAAACAAGGAATGGTCTTGCAGCACCTTAGAAACTAAGCAATGTCAGAAGCAAAGTTAAAGCTCTGGTTTCTTGACACAAAATCCTATGACTAATCTAGTGGAAGAAAATGACACCCTCGCTCCCCCACTACTTCACTACCAACCCTAGAAACATTTGGTGAAATATAAAAATATGCAAGATTATAATTCCTCCCCCCTTCCCCGCCACAGTTAGGTAGATACCAGTTGGTAAGTATTATTATACCGATTTCACAGATTTGGAAATTTAAGATCAGAAAGGTTAAGTGACTTGCCAAGGTCTTGCCAACATTTATATTTCACCAAATGTTTCTGCCTTGAGGGCGGGGGGGCTGGACTCGATGACCTCTCGAGGTCCCTTCCAGTCCTATGATTCTATGATTCTAAGGTACTACAGAAGAATGACATGGTCCATTGAGAAAAAGAATGTGTTCTAATACTAATTCTAACATTTACCCATTGCAATATCAGTGAAACATCACTTAGCTTCTCCAAGCCTGAGTTTGTAAAACAAAGCTGGCTCATGCTTATCTAGTTCACTTGAAGCATTCGGAGATATTTGATAAAATAATACTTGAAAATGTTATGAAACAAATAGTATTAAGAAAAGTTGTGACAGATGTGGGAACAGAATCCAGGACAGCTTGTAAGATTCTAGCTTTCTGCATATTCACGTAGATAATATAGTTTGGATGGTGGAAAAAAAAAGGGACATTATGACTTCTTTTGTAATTTACATGTGTAAACTTTTTTATATTTGGCACATAGTTACACTGTGAAAAAAAATTCTTGTAACATTTCATGCAATAATAAAAAATTCATAACACTGCCCTTTTGTAATTTTTTTGCAAATTTGAAAAATAGGCAAATTCCATGTCAAAAGAGTGAGTTTGTGATGAATATTTGAGTGCTTTTCAATGTTTTGCAAGCTCTTTATTTAGGAAATTATATATATGGCGAAAATATCTGTATAATATTTCGACTCAAACATCAAGTGCCACTGTATCTTACATGGTATGAAAAGCCCTTACTATTCTATTCTTCTGTTCTAATAATTAGTAAAATAAGGAGGCATTAACCTCCCACTGCTGTTAACAATAGCTTTATAGTCCAAATTCTTTGTTATTACGACAGTGCAGAGAAATACTAATAACTGCAGTTGTATTATCAATAAGAAGTAATGAACAAAAATAACACCAGGGTAAAATCATTCTTTGTCAGTGTGTTTAGTGGGATTTTTTTTAAACAAGTATTTTTTCTAGAGGATAAAAAACCTCTCCCCATTAATGATATTTTAGCATTTAAAGCTGCATGTTAAATGCAGTTTTCTGTAAGTTGGAATTTTTACTTTTTAAAATGTATACCTTGAAAATGGGCCAGAAAATCATCCATTCATTTTACTTCTTGACAGTAATCACTTTCTGTCTTGTGCAAGGATACCCGGGAGACATCCATGGATATTTGGTGGCGAACAGTAAAACATAATCAGTCTCCAGGAAGACAGTAAAAATTACTGATTTGTGGTGTCTAACATGTTCAAGTCAATTAAATATGATGAATGGCTACTTCTGCTAGCATGCATGTGGCTCACAGGAGAAAAGGGACACAATGTTTGTTCACCCTCCTCCTTCATATTCATGTACAGAGGCATCCTGGAGCACAGATGAATGCTCAGAAAATGATGGTGGGGGAAGGGAAGAGTTGTTGAAATCAATGAAACAACAGAAATGATGGTAACTTCCCACTGCCAAAATTAATCTGCTGCACTGTAGCTGCGAATTCCTTGAAAAGATATTCCCCGGTTACCCTCCCATCCCAGTCTATGCTGTATGTTCCCTTTACGGTGCTATACAGAAGTTTGTAGCTGTGTGCTAAAATGCATCACAAAAATTAAAATTATAACAAATAAAAATTCTACTTACCTGAGCAGGTGATGGTTGCTGCACATAGCCCTGGGGTGGTGGTGGAGGCTGTAGTACTTGTTGGGATACTGGTGGACCTGAACCCGTAAAACTTCCTGGAGGAAGCTGCTGACTTGGAGATGCCATGACATAACCAGTCTGCTGGCCAGAGGGCTGTATGATGGGTGATGGGTAGACAGGACCAGAAGGCGACTCAGGATTGTCTCCCGATGACTGACGACTTAAGCTCATCTGGCTAAATTGTGTTGTCATGTCATCTCGCTGTGGGCAAAAGTCAGTTGAAAATGGTCAACCCGGGTTTTTTTTTGGTAGTAGATATATGCGAAAATAGAAAAAGTCAGGTTCTAAGAACAGCACGAGAAGCAGGTGAAAATAAACTCAGGGTAACCAACAAAAATAAATAGCAAATACAAATAAAACATTGAAAATTGCTAGAAAAATGCTTCTAGACTTTAAGGTATATAAAGCAATAGCAAATTCTCATTGGTTGGGATTTTTTGACCCTACCCATATTTTTAAAGAGTAAAGCAAGGATACTATGATGACTACAGTTGTGATTCTATAAGGATCCCAAGGGAAATTCGATGTGATTGGGGCATCCTTGTTTTCTATGACTATCTCAGCCCATGCATCTTAACACATTATTAGGCAAAAATACATAAACTGGAGATTGAACAGTTTGCAGCTCTCAACTGCTAGTTAAAGACTTTTTAAGTCATTGGTATTAATAAACATACTATGATGACTACAGTTGTGATTCTATAAGGATCCCAAGGGAAATTCGATGTGATTGGGGCATCCTTGTTTTCTATGACTATCTCAGCCCATGCATCTTAACACATTATTAGGCAAAAATACATAAACTGGAGATTGAACAGTTTGCAGCTCTCAACTGCTAGTTAAAGACTTTTTAAGTCATTGGTATTAATAAACACGTAATAAAGTCCTGTCTTAGGGCCACCATCAAGATAGGGCAGGGACCAACATACCTAGTGGGCATATAAGGTGAAATCCTGGCCCCAATTAAGCCAATGGCAAAGCTTTGCTTGTGTTCAGTGGAGTCAGATTACACCCTTAAAGTGCATAATGATGTAAAAATAACAACAGGCCCTAACCTTACAGAAGGATCCATGTAAGCAGAGCTCTATGCCTGGACAGAATTCTGTTGCCTTCAATAGGACTCTATGAGGATTTAAGGTGAGATTCTAAAAGGGTATTTAGAGGCCTAAGGCCCACCGACATTTAAAAATCTGGCCCCAGATAGCTTTGCCTATATATAAGTCCAATTGTCTTAATATTTACTTGAATTCTGAAAGGAAACAGCCTGAAGAAAGATTTGTTCCATTGAGAAACAAGAATACACTATCAGTGCATTGTACATAAGCATGCAGACTACGTTCCCCAATTGCTTGCTTGTGCCCTGTTAATGAAGGGGGGGAAACACTGTAAAGATTTTTTCCTCAAATATTCTCATGAATTTGTAAATGAATTTGCTTGGATTGGGTTCGTATCCTTACCATGATCATGTTCCAATAATCTGCTATCATAATGCTATTATTGGTAAGGCTTTTGAAAAGGAAGTGTGGATTTTTTAAATGAATACAACAGAATATTTGTTTGAAAGTTAAATTTCAAATTCACAGTCACATGTAGAAATCTCATTTAAGTCTTACACTAGAAAGAAATATCATGGGTCATTTTCTCAAAACGGTTAGCCAGGATCTGGTCACGCATGCCTAAAACCAGGCTCCTGCACCCATACTTAGATATCTGAGTTAGTTGACTGAATTTCACAAATGCTGACCATCCATATCTTCCATTGATTGGATGGCAAATAGTTTAAAACAATTTTTTAAACAATTTTTTTTTTAAATATGACAATTCACAAGGAGAAAAATGAGGAATTAGCTATTATTAATCTACTTCTACCCATTTTATGAACGAGACACCATGAGGTTGATGGCCCCATACGTGTCATTGGTGCTAGCATCTGCTGTGCATAAGAACAATTTTTTCTACAGGGTTTTCAGTGCATGTGGATGTGTAGAATAGGTTGTTACTCAGCTTTTAAAGGTAGAGCTTTTCTGCTATGAATTAGAAGTATTATTCTGGCACCAAAGGCCTAGTCCATTTTGTTTCCCTCTTTTAGCACGACCAAGTAAGTGATATCTCTAGCTTGGTGATATGAGCCACAAATAAGAAAGAAAGAGAAAAAAATAATCCTCTACTTCCCATTAAAATGTCAGCTTCATTCTAGAGTAGAATAATTTTAATCTTGTAAGCATCATGCCAGATTCAGATTCCAGAGGCATACTCTTTTTTTTCCCTCCATATCCGTGTGCTTTTTCATGGTGCACCATATAGCACATGCCTCAAGAGCTGCAGCTCTTTCACAAATATTCTGTTATCCAAGTGCTCAGTATGATCATGGATTAAGCCACCAAATGCAGTTAAAGTACAGGCAGTCCCCGGGTTACGTACAAGATAGGGACTGTAGGTTTGTTCTTAAATTGAATCTGTATGTAAGTCGGAACTGGCGTCCAGATTCAGCCGCTGCTGAAACTGATCAGTTTCAACAGCGGGGGGCAAAGCAGAGCCAAGCCGCGGAGCGCGTGGGCAGCGGATAACCCTGTCCGCTGCCCGCGGG